AGAGCGTAAGCAAAATGCGCTCACTAAAAGAGAATACCAGGAAAAAGTAAAGGAACGCAAAAAACCAAATTTTTAGTCCAAAGAATGGCAACAACCAAACTAATGTCAAATAACAATAGAAATGTATGTACAAAACACATACACCCAAGCACAAGGACAATAAACACTTACTATATCAATTATTTTTTGCCTCCTTCCAATTTCAATTAACTTTTTTTTACTTTTTAGATTATTCTCACTTTTTGCGTATTCTTTAATTTCCGTTAATTTTAATTTAGTTGAGTTTGACACTTTTCAGGATTTTGGCAGAAAAAATTCTTCTGACTAAATCTGACTACTTCGCACTGATGAGAGTCACTCTCACTGCGTGTTGCNCTGTTCTCCTTTTACTCTCACTTGAGAGAGTGAAATTGTAGTTTGACAGTTCCACAGGTTTTAGTCCGAAGATCAAAGGAACAGACTATATGCTTTTTTGATCATAAAATAAAACCCCATGGCAGCGCCATTCCTCCCCCAATGCAGAATGTCAAATTGTGTTGCCAAATGTTTGTCTCATAACCTTAAATTTTTAAATAACATTTGTACAACAGCGACTACCCCTCGTGGGGGAAAATTTTTTGTAAAAAAGTTATATAAATTGAAATCTTTCTGATATTGCATAGTCTTTTTCCTAAAATTGTGCAGGTATAATCTCAAATTAACCAATTATTTCAAGTGTAAGTGTTGACAACTTTTCAAGATAGCCTACTACTGCATTTTGTTATGCAATGACTTCGACCCACATTAAGGGTTGAAAAATCTAGTGACACATACATATTCTATAAATTCACCTATTTGTAGATTAAAAATGGGTAATACAATCACTAGTGTTAGTTTGGAAGCGGCAACCAATAAGCCACAATACCATATACACAAGGCTTCAGCGGGCGCTAACCCTCCACCAGAATGCCCTATGCACCAGAAGAGTGGCGCAGCAGCAACAACACAACCACCTNTGACAACTTTTCAAGATAGTCTACTACTGCATTTTGTTATGCAATGACTTCGACCCACATTAAGGGTTGAAAAATCTAGTGACACATACATATTCTATAAATTCACCTATTTGTAGATTAAAAATGGGTAATACAATCACTAGTGTTAGTTTGGAAGCGGCAACCAATAAGCCACAAGACCATATACACAAGGCTTCAGCGGGCGCTAACCCTCCACCAGAATGCCCTATGCACCAGAAGAGTGGCGCGGCAGCAACAACACAACCACCGCAGAAAATTACCACAACCAACACTGCACCTATATCTGAATGTCCAGTTCAACATGATAAAAATGATATCAATCCTCTTAATATGATGCCACCGGCCAATCAACAACCCGCGCCAGATCAACCCTTTCCTCTATCAACAGAACGTCAAACCTCTAGCATACCAAAAGTAAGTGAAGATGGTAGTATGCAATTCTGGCAATATCCAAGTCAGCAAATGTTCTGGAACGCAATGCTTCGCAAAGGCTGGCGCTGGAAGAACGAAGATATTTCACAGAAAGATATGGGTGACATTATTTTTATTCATAACGCTAACAATGAACAAGCCTGGAAAGAAGTACTTAAGTGGGAAGCACTACATGCAAAGGAGTGTGGCAATCCCCGGTTGAAGAGTTTCGGAGGCAAGGCTGCCGATTATAGTCCACGTGCCCGTTTTCGGAGCTGGTTAGGGTAGGTGTTGCATATTTATTTAAAATTGGTAATAATCGAGTTCAAATAGTATTTTTTATTGATAGTTATGAACTGCCTTTTGATCGCCATGACTGGATTGTGGACCGTTGTGGCAAGGATGTGCGATATGTCATAGACTACTACGATG